GGTTTTTCGTATTTGCTCCTTTTCGGCTTTCCGACTACCCAAGACGGCCCACGAGGCCGCCCAAGATCGCCCCCACAGCGCCAAAGAGGCCTCCAAGACGGCCTCATGACTGCCCAAGAGGCCCCCAAGATCGCCCCAAGAGGGCACAAAGACAACCCAAGAGGCCTCCAAGACGCCCAAGATGGCCTCCAAGACGGCCCTGGAGCACCCCAAGAGGGCCCCAAGTCGGCCCAGAGAGGCCCCCCAAACGGCTTCCGACGGCGTCAGACGGGCCAGGAGCCCACCAAGATGGCCGAAGTTGGCTCGAAGCTGGCCCAAGACGGCTCAAGAGGCCTCCAAGAGGGCCTCCAGGAAGGCTAGAAAATGCACAAAAAAATGATGTTCGATCGGATTTTGACATTTGCTTCTTTTCGGCATCCGAAGGCCCGATACGTCCCAAGAGTCCTCAAAGATCGCCCAAAGATCGCCCAAGAGGCCTCCAAGATGGCCCCAGAACGGCCCCCAAGATCGCCCCAAGAGGCCCCTAAGACGGCCCAGGAGGCTTTTAAGACGCCCAAGACGGCCTCCAAGACGGCCCTGGAGCATTCCAACAGGGCCCCAAACCGGCCTAGAGGGGCCCCCTAAACAGCTTCAAAAACGGCCGAAGATGGTCCTAAGGTGGCCCAAGACGGCCCAAGAGGCTTCCAAGAGGGCCTCCAGGAAGGGCCGAAAAGGTCAAAATCATTGATTTTCCATTCGTTTGGCCCAAGAGGCCTCCAAGACGCTCAAGATGGCCTCCAAGACGGCCCAAGAGTCCTCCAAGACGTCCACCAAGAAGGCCCGAAAGGGTCAAAATAGCCTCCAAACGGCCAAGACGACCTTCAAGATGCCCACGTGTTCCCTGAAGGCTTTCCAAACCGATTCGGGGAACACACGGTCCGATAGCTTGGCAGGTCTAGCCTCAACGTTCGGCCACACAGGCGCTTTCAAAAAGGCAGGGGGCGGCGGTGATTCGCCGTAGGCGTCTTCGATTACGTCCACGAAAACGTGTTGCAGCATCACCGGGATACAGTCGGGGCGTTGACCCAAGGAACCTTGAATAAGGAACGAGGCCCCTTTTTTCCATAAGTTAGCCTTCGATTTCCCATCGAAGACCAAAAGAACACCTAAGGCAAACTGTGAAAGAAATGAAGGACACGGAGCCCCTCCCCAACGAAAAGGGTTCCTTCTTCAGCGCCCCGACTGTAGTTCGGCGGGAGGCAACGAAATCAGCCAGCGAGAGGGAAGGGTGGAACGTCGCAGGAAGAGCCCCTCCAATCGAACCCTCGGCCAAACTATGGCTGGTTCAAGTTGGGCGCCCGAACTATCCGGGGTAACTCGGGTCCGGGGTAAGTCGGGTTCGGAATCTCTAAAAACCAACCCGAGTTAGCCCTGACCCGAATTACCCCTGATGATTCGGGGCTCTGGACGCCCGAATTATCCGGGGTAAGTCGGGTCCGGGGTAACTCGGGTTCGGAATCCCGAAAAACGAACCCGAGTTAGCCCTGACCCGAGTCACCCCTGATGATTCGGGGCTCTGATCAAGTCAAGTCGGCATGGGCACTGGGCTCTGACACCGCGCCGATCGTCCAATCTTGAGCGACCTCCCTGTCCTGCAACGGGGATCCTTCAGTCTTGAACGACTCACCCGGCCCAGGCCGCCTCTGGCCAGCCTTCCCGCGCCGGGTGTCGCCACCGCGTCGGCGCGGGGCTCGTCTGCAGGAGCGAGCCGTGAGCCGTCCTGGAGCACCCCGTGGAGCACGGGCGGGGTGCACGGCCCCCCCGAAGCATCCCTCCCCTGGCCATCGCTCGGACGTCCATTTCCTGTGTTTTTTTCGGTTTCGTGCGTGTTTTTTTCGCCAAATGGTGGAGGATGCTCCTCGAAAGTCCTCGCCGAGAAAAAATGCACACGTCCGAGCGATGCAAAATCCCAGCCCGAGCGGGCGAGCCAGGCACACCCCCGAACGGGAGGGAGGGGAAGAGGCACCGCCGGGAAGCATCCGCAGCCATGGCCGCTGGAGTCCTGCCCTGGGCCCCTGGGGGCTCTGGGCACGGATGCCTCCCCGCCCGCAGGGCAGAAGAGCAGATGTCCGTACCCACCACTCCTCGAGAGGTACCTAGGTCCCTGGGCGTGGCTCCGAGGCGGTGGGCGTAGACACAGTCTGGCGGCCGAGGGAGGAGCAAGGTGAGTCCAAGAATCCCACCAGCCCTGCAGGGCGTAAATGGTTTAGAGCGCTTCCTCTTCCAACTCCCCTTCTTCCCCTCCGATGGGGGGCTTGGGCCTTCCCCTCCCCCCCCCTGGACCTGGAGGGGAGGTTTCGCGACCCATTGGAGCGTCCAAGAAGGCCTCGGTGAGAAATCGGAAATCATTGATGTTCCAATGCTATGGGGAGGCTAATATAGTATCCCCCTTCTTTGATCGAACTCCTCCACGATGGCCCCCAAGGCTCTCGAGTACCCCAAGAGGCTCCAAGAGGCGCCC